GGTGATGACCCAAATGGACAAGGCCATCGTTGACAAGGCCTGTGCTTCCGCACTCGCCTCGAGTCTGTCATCGCCAACAATGGAGACTACATTGAATAATTCGAAACTGTATCATTTGAACTGCTTCTGTGCCAATTTTCATTTCAATATATTGATTTTTGCTTGCAAAACATGTCTTTTTTTATTTCCATTATAGTTTGTCCCAATTTACCTGCCCCACCCTGTACGTACATAGCTCACCATATAGGCACCTTGGCATAGTACAAGCATTTGAGTAGAAAATGGAACTAGGACTTCAGTAGTCAGTGTAGTCCAGGAAAACTTGTGCTCTGCTGTGATGCTTTTAGCTTGTCTGGATATTCTTTCACTCCCAACTCTTTTGGGACATTTAAAATAAATTATTTTGAGTAAAGGCATTCGTTCATGGGAGTTCTTGTATGTTTTGCCTGATGAGAAATAGGGGGCAAGTATGATCCTGCAGTGGGTGTGATCAGTATCACTTTTTGGCACATATAATTACAATGCACTATCAATCACAATGAATTAAGAATTACTTTACCTTGCAATACCTGCATAACCTAGCACATCAAATTCTACTGTTTCATAATAGATATTATATGGGGAATTAAAGTATCTTCTTTTGCCTGCGAAACAGTACACTTTTCTTTCTCAGAATCCTTTGGAATATCAAAAATTTGGCACAAGGTGCCAATTTTCTTACACCTATACAATAATAACTGACTGTCTGTTATCTCCTAACCCTGTCTCTATCCTCAATCACTGACCCAGCTCTCTGGGCCTGACCCATAGATTGGACCAGCCCTTGGCCCAAATTAGGCCTCTAAGCTAGAGGACTCGATATAGCATGAAATATTCACCCACACTCAACCAGAAATTTGATTCCCAACCAAGCTAGTTGTCCAATCCATATCCCATAAGGAACTCAATATCATTTGCTATTCTTACTGCATGGTCTTAAGTATGGCATGTGACTTATCAATTTACCATAAGTGTTAGTGCTTTGCACTGAAATGACAACACTGCATGACAATCTTGTGAAGTCAGCAGTGCGACAGCAACTTAGATGCATTTTGGGGTATATATAGTGGTTCATTGCACTATCCAGAATAGTAGAGCCACAATGAGAAACCACGAGTTTTACATTGTTGTCTGCTTTTAGGAGAGTACAGCAGAATGGCTCCAACAGCTGTGTTCTTCAAGATCCAACAGCTCCTCCTCGGTGTACACAACCAGGATGCAATGAAGAGACATTGTTCTTTAACCCTTCAAGCAGTTTTCATGTACACTATGTTCATCACTGAGGAGGTCAAGTCAAAACTCAGCGCTTGAAGGGTTAATTGTAAGAAGAGGAAGTCAGATGAATCTATCATGACCTATCTTTCCTTTAAGTGCAAGACAAAAGGGTACCTGTCAACATAATCAGTACAATTTAGGAAATGATTTATAGACTTACTCTCCTGTATGACAACAGTTAAAAGTTGCAGTATGGCTGCTTTTGATTGCATGTGTAAGTGGTTTCTTGGCAACGATAATTGCATCTTTAAAGGGTTTTAATATGACTATATGTGGTGTAAATGGCTCTAATAGTATGAAGAATATATGCAAGAAGCCATTTACAGTTTGCACTCAGCAAGTTGCACCTCATACCTGAAATTCAGGGTGGGCCATAAATATTCACAATGAATCAATGTCTTGTATTCCCTGTACAAATAATTTCTGTTAGAATCAATTGAATCTTAACAAGACCCAAAGATCCACTGTATTCACAAAATATTTTCATTGTATCCTTTTTGATGTCAATTCAATCTCTTCAATCTTTAATCTGCTGGTTGACTGCATTGGATGGACTTAGTTCCACTTCTCTTGCAGCACCAGCCTTAATTGACTCAGGTCACTTGATTTCGTTTTTGGACACTTACTTCCAGCAGACCACACAAGCAGTAATCTCCCTGATTGCAGTCATTACTGTAAGTACTGTAAGTCATTAACCCTTTCATGGCGTATGATCATTATTAGGATCATGTCTTTTGAGACTGCTCTTGTGGTTACCATTGAACAAAACCTATTTTATTTGGTACCGTTTAATAGCTCTCAAAAAGGGCACTTTGCTGATGCATTATTTGTTCAAATAGGTATTAGTTCAGGCAAGCTGGATCAAAAAGAAAAGTTGTGACGATATTTTTTATTTTTTGTGAAATGGAATTTTGAACAAAAAAGTAAGAATTTATTATTATTTTTTTTTAAAAAGGGAAAAATATGCCTGCATGCTGCAAGAATGAATGGTTAAAATTGGGACAAAGGCTAAGTTTTAGGGGCTCTCCATGTGTGAAAAATGGCCTGTTATTCAATATTTTCAGTTAATGATTCTTGTAATTTAAAAATTCCATTTTTAATGAGTAAACACTTGAAATTTTCTGTGAGCTCTGTGTTTAGCTAGGCCTGTTCAATAGAAAAAGCAGTGAAAAAATGTCCTAGATATTTGTTTTCAGACATGAAAAGGTTAAAGTTTTTAAAAATAATTGCTACATGATCTGCAAAACAAGTTTTATGCAACATTCTTTGTGACTCAGAAAAGGAGTCCTACTGAGGAACCCATTATTGACCACCAAAGAGAGACTGACATAGACACCACACCTTTTTTCCATTGCTTTTCTTGAACACAGAAATAAAAAAGTTACATGTGGTATGAATATTTATGGCCCACCCTGCACAATGGTAGGGCAAAGGCCATATGGTACATCACATCTCTTACTACTACCCATTGCAGACCCAGGTGTTGGAATGGGCATTAATTCCCCATCCAATGTCTAGGTCAAAATTCATACAATCTCATTTGAATGCTATTGGTCAGAATTCCTTTAGAATGAGAAAATAGTGAAATTTAGGAAGGTGGGGAGGTGACAGGATGCACCCAAAATTATTGATCTGATATGTAGCTGTTATAAATTCCAGCCATGTGTCTCATTTGAATGCTGTGACAGAATTTGATTTGCCTCACTTTGAACGATGTGAATGTTTTATGGGATACAGCCATAGGTGGAGTAGATTCAATGCCCATTGAAACCAGTTCATATAAGATTTGTAATCACACAGAATTTTCTATACAGCATGGTTGGTCACATTTATCTGAGATGAGACACAAACTCAGATCATGTAAACTTTGCCTAGTTTTCATGTTGCATTCACTTGCAGATTGTTAGGCTTCACTCAGATTCTAACAGTTCATATTATGGCCTTTGGTATATCTGACAGTTCATTTACATTAGGCTAGTTTTGTGCTATAATTGACACTTATATGCATTCAGGGTAGAAAAGGATGGTCATAGCATGTGCAAAACTTTGATCAATTTGATTTTTTCAGGTTTGGCAAAGAAATCAGTCATTGGAAATGAATAGAGGGAATAGGAGACTAGTGGTAGGGATGTTATTCTCTACTAAGAAGCAATTTTTGTGACCTAATTACAGATTCAATGGTACTAAAAAGTGCTAAAGGATTGGGTAAACGAAAAAAGTTACCATCGTTCCTTGGAGGAACATTTGAGGTAGCTCTCAGCCAAAAACAAAGGATATAGGTGTATTACACAAAAAGTTATTCTGTTCAGAGCAGTGTCTGTTAACTGAAAAAAGCTGTAACAAGAAAATTGCAACCAGCATGGTTGCCAGAGACAACACGTTATGGACATAGATAACAAATTAAGCTAATTAACCATTATTTTGATGTTTTCAGCTTTTCATGGTGATATTATGAATTGAGTTGGAGTATGATCATATCCAATTTTCACGAAAACCTTTTTTTTAATGATGAATCAAAAGCAGGTCTGCTACCTTAAGTAACTCTACATTATGGGCTAGACTAAAGTTCCTGAACTTTGTCCACTGGAGATGGAATAACCCGTTTTCCATCTTCACATCAAGGAAGCCAGTGAGTGATGGAGATGAATGCTGAGGAAGCTGCAAGGGTCCTCCAAGACAAACATGAGCCTTTGAAAGATCGTTTCAGGGCCTTATTTACTCTCAGAAACATAGGAGGGGCAAAAGCCATTGATGCTATCAGTTCATGCTTCTGTGATCCATCTGCTTTGCTCAAACATGAGCTGGCCTATGTGCTTGGTCAGATTCAAGATCCAAGAGCCATCCCTGTCTTGAATCAAGTCCTGTCTGATTCTTCTCAGGAACCCATGGTTCGGCATGAAGCTGGTGGGATATAGTTTTGTCATTGTCTTCCTGCATGCCTTTATTATATTATTGTCAGCATCCTTCATTATTGCAGGATGCTGACAAGTTTTCAAATAGGGCCGTTCCAAACTGATTTGCCAAATGAGATTGAGTTGCTGATTATCATTTTCACCCATAATTTTATATCCTATAGGTTTTTATAAGTTTAGGAGCACTAATTATGTTGAAAAAAAAGAAGGCCTGAGTGCAGCACACTATATCTTAAAAATGCAGGGATTTTGCTGCCTTTAGATATATGTTGCGTTTATCCTTGGAAGGACCTCATCCCACATTGTAAAAAAATTTTTGATGATGATATCTTCACCTTGTGGAGAAGTCTCCTTAAAGAAATATAGAATATTCTGGGCAAAGTTGGCAATTTTTTCCATTTGGCAACTTCTTATTTATTTGAGGAAAGCACAATCATTCTTGCAGGTTTATTTCAATATGAGAGATATTCTTTGAAAGTCAGCTCTGCAAAGCAGGGTGATGCCTGATCTGGTCAGAGCAGACAATGTGGTTGGAGTGAATGGAGTGTGGTGAAGGATGGTACAGAAGGAAAAGATTGACTATTGGATTGGTATAAAATGGTATTAAAGCTAGTATGCCTAACTGGTAATCATATGCATGGATTCACTTCTCATCCCTTCTCAGGGGTTTCCTCCTATGCCTCAATTCATCCCTTGTATTAAAGAGAGCCTCATTATATAGATTTGGTCAGCAAACTTTCATTCAGCCATTATGCCAAGATAATTAACTTGACTCTTTCTGTCCAGACCAAGTTTTCTTGTAGCGTTGATCAAAATGGATAAGAAAATGTTAAATTGATGAGTTTGAATGTTGCCAAATTTGCTTGTTTGCTTTCAGGTCTATCTCTTCAACTGTCTCCCTTTCAATCCTTGTATCATTATCCTTCCACTGGTTTAAGTTTTAGTTTTAGCACATTCACTTTGTGACCAAAATGCTTATAGGTTAGATATACACCATGCAGTATGAATCACCTGTGGCTTGTGCTGCAATGAAAGTATTAAACATAATATTGACACACATGTCATAAAACCAGAAAGGATAGGGATTTTTTCTTCTTGCACTTTGTACCATTTATCTATGCAGTGTCTGAAATTTTTGAAATTTTAAAATTGGAATGACACCAATGGATCTATGAACAATAATTTTAAAAAAATGTTCTTACTTCCTGATGGGAGTAAGTAAATTCGGTCAAACTTGAATATTTTTTTCAAATAATTTCAAATCTGTTGCATGGAAGCTGCATAAAAACATGGCCCTGGTGTTGAGTATCCTGTTGGCAACCTTGACATGCCAGAATGGTTCATAGTTGCTGTTTGAGAATAGTGCTAAAATTGCTCAAAAGCAAAATTGCTTGCTGGAAAATTATATTTTTTTGTCTGACATTTTTAGGATCATAAGCAATCGCTGAACTGAGTCACTTTAAGTCACATATTTAACAGGCATATGAACTACATACCTCTTCACAGATGAGACTATTTTGCAGAATAACTGTTAAACAGAAATAGGATCATTTGACAGAATAAAAACTTGTACACCTGAACTGTTTAAGAGAATTTATACCTTTTGCAACTTACTTTTAGACATTTTGCAATTCATTTTCGGCATTCGATGAGTGAAGAATGTCATTGGAAATATGTGTGAAAAGTGGTAGCAGATTCAGCAAATCAGAATCGGTTTTTATCCATGAGAACTGGATCGCATTAGGAGGCATATGGTTTCAGCAACAAAATAGTCATTTTCGGCATTTCCTATGAAAGCAAAACTGTAAATGAAATACAGTGACTAGAATCTCGAGATCATCTGCGGTGTTTGAAGTTCTTTGACAAACAAGTTTCCTTCAAAATCCTGATACTGGAAGCCAAGTATGAAGTCGAAGCAATTGGGAATGAAAGTAGCAATCGCTATTAAGAGCATTATCTGCTCTACATGGTGAGTCAAAAGTCCTGCCCACCTTTGGAATGTTAATAACTTCTTAACGCTTGATCTCATGGAGATGCAGTTTTTACCATTCAAAAGGCAAGACAGTTATATGAGGAAGGATTTTTGCATTATTTTTCAAATGGAAATGAAATTCCTGTTCTTGGTTCATATACTGTAAATGCATTGGCACCCAAAAAATGCATGCAGCACTGTGTCTAATTTTCTGTTCAACTGTCAGTGGGTGTCCAGATTGGGAAAGGTCTGCTATGTTTCCTGTCCTGTCAACATTTGAGTTAATACAGCTGACTGTTTCTCCAATGAATTTCTTCCTGAATCGTGAAGCAGTTTCCGTCGCATTCAGAGTAAAATTGAACTTTCGCAACTCACTTATCATTGGTCGATTGTTTATCAGCCATTTTCCTCAATCCTCCATGAATTGGAATTGATCATAGCTAAGGCAACTCTCACACTCAAGCAGACAATTGGATGCGGTGCTGCAAGGCATGTTTTCACGTGCCAATGCCTTTGTGTAACCCCCAGAATAGTAATTTAATTTCCAAATGATACCATTAGCAAAATAATGCGAAAATCCTTCATTTGATACTGAATCGTCTACTCTTTTGAATGATGGAAACAGCATCTTGAGATCAAGCACTGAGAAGTTATTCACATTCAAAGGGTGGGTAGGACTTATGAATTGGAAAGAACTTAGATAGAGCTTTTATTGTACATTAGTTTCAAGTTTGTATCGCATTTTGAAACAGGGTGTACAAACCGCCAAAGTGGGTGAAAATGGGCAAAATTGGACTTTTCAAATTTAAAGTTGTTTCAAACAACGTAGGAAGTTGACATTTAGTTCTTGAATTGGCTTTGCTCTAGTCTACAATGTTGCAAAAGCTCGTTGTGTTGCCATGCATCTTAGTGCTCAAAATTTGCGTGCAAAATTTGGGAATATTGATTTTTTTTCATTTTTGTAACTCACTTGGTGATGAATGTAGTAGAAATTGGATTTAATAATGTGATCCTGCATTGTCTCAGCTTTAATTAGAATCCAAATATGCTTTTCTAGCTCGATTGGGACAGAAAATAGCGTTTTTACCCCAAATGTCACTTTTCCTCTTGGGGGCCAAGTTTGGGGCTGCATATCTCGAAAACTGTTAAAGCCAGAGATCTAAAATTTGAAATGTTTTCATAAGTTTTCAGTGTCAACATGCCCAAATTTTTTCAAGCAAATCGGAGTCTGAGGCCCAACGAAAGTGACTAAAATTTGACCACTTAAGCTGGAATGCCTCATTTTCATTTCCTAACTGGTCAGGACTCAAAGGGCTGCGGTATAGGCCAAAAGTTCCATCTGAAATTCAGTGAACAGTGAAAAAACTTCTCCCTAATTTTGAAAGATGTTGCTCCTACTTTAAACGTGTTGTTACCCATTCCTTGTGTGAGAGCAACTCTTAGCACATGTTGGCAAGTCTAAATATGCTAGTGCTTTCACAGGTGCTTCTTTTTTGTTGCTCAAATATCGTCATTTATGCTGAAACCCTATTTCCTCCATGAATTTCAATCACTGATTGTCCATTTTGTGTCTTACAAATGACAAAATATAGGGAGGAATGCTGAAATTCCGATATAAGGTGACGAGAATGCCCATGGGCAAAGCCTGCCAAGCATCATTCTCTGAGTGCCAGATATTCTTTTCTGAATGCCAAAATCCACATTTGCAGCGTTATTTCCCTTCATCGAGGAAAAAAGGTGAAAATGTATGGAAAAAAAAAGAATTACAATCCCTATGAAGGGGAATTACAGGTCTTAAAGCTCCTTGATATCGGAATGCATAGCTGACTATTGGCTCATCAATCATGCCAAGTGTAAGATTTCTGATGTGAAGTGAGTTCCTGTAGTAGTAGTTCCCATCAATTTGTTGGTCTTTCATTATTGCTGTGATGATCCGACTGAAAAGCTTGCCTCAGTGACTTTTCCCATCGTATGTTGGTAAACTCAATTTCCAGCTCAAATATTTTTGCTGCCGCTCTTAAATTTTCTGTCTTCCGCAAACAAAACATGAAGAGGAATACCGAAATCCAGATACAGGATGCTGAAAATGATGTTTCCTTTTGGAAAGTCGGCTGAACATCTGCATGCCGAGAATTCATCTAAAGCGCAAATTTTTCAATGCCCTGTGTATATATTCACTTTCCATTCTGAAAAACAAGGGAAAATGCACCAAAAATGAATTCCAAACCATCTAAAAGCAAGTTCCAAAAGGTATATATGCCTTGCATTAATCCATTTGCACCCAAGTTGAGATATTGAGTTTATATTTGGCATAAACATGCTTCACAGGCATGATAAATGCTTTTAAATTTGTTTGTATACTCTATATATACTGTATAGCATACTCTAGAAATTGCACTCCAACTAGTTAAAGAGGGGTTTATGTTTTTCTTCCAATGCTTGTGCTATGGCATGTGGGAACTGTGCCTTACCATTTAGAGACATCAGCATTTCAGCCCCCACACTTTCATACTGCTGTTGGGTGCCTGAACATCCGCCTTGGATTGCTCATCTGGACCTGCTTAATCTGAGACAGTCTGGACTAATTTGCTTAATTTATCATATAGAATTATAAAGGAAATTCAATGAATAGTATACAGTCATTGAAGTACTTTTTCCCCCATTTTCTTCAGTCACCTCACTTCCAATAAAATTGACAGCAAAACTGCACAGCATTCAATGATGATTCAAACTTTCTAGGAAGTAAAGAAACTTGAGGCCATTTCACACTTGGTGTCCTTTACATGACACATGTAATTCAGTGATGCATGTCTGCATGCATCTGTGTATGTTTGAATGCAAAGGAAGGCACTTGTGTGTGTTTGCCAACATGCATTCACAGACAAAGAAGAAATGTTAAGCTTATGGCGTGAATTGGGTTCTGTCAAAATTCCAATGGCCAACATGCAATCATATTCCCTTCATCCACACGCTGCACTTCTCCCTTTGTACACGCATGTGGACATGCATTCCCTTATATGCATTGAGCAGCATGAAAATGCATGTATTCATGTGTGTAAATGGCATGACAGGAAAATTAGTCTGTAACAGCCTTTAGTCATTTTCATGCACTGATTCTGAAGTTATTATATTGTTTTACTTGCCCTTTGTTAGCAGTGGAGTTTTGTGCTCAGTTTTGTCTTGTCCTTTTATGTTCATCAGGTGAGGCACTGGGGGCAATAGGAGCTTTAGAGTCTCTTGGAATCCTTGAGAAATTCTGTTCTGACTCATGTTCAGAAGTGGCAGAAACATGTCAGCTGGCTATGAAACGAATCCAGTGGATCCATGATAACACAATCACAAAGCACTCTAGTGAATCTGCTTCTCCATTCTTGTCAGTTGATCCAACCCCATATGCATCAAGTGAGACATCAGTTCAGGAGTTGGAAGATTGCCTACTGGATTCAGCTGCTCCTATTTATGAGCGATACAGAGCCATGTTTGCCCTAAGAAATAGAAAGGATGTCCACAGTGTGAAGACCCTGGCAAGAGGTTGGTTTGTTTTCCAGTATGTCTTTGGGTGTACCCTTTTACTGGACAGAGATAGAGAGTGTTCACTAGTCTCCCTCAATGTTTGGATAATTTTTTTAATTTATAAATTTTTAAAGTGATTTTAGTTTTGGGATGATAAGAGTGGGATCTGATGTTACTATGTACCTAGTCATTTCAGAAAAGGGAAAGGTAAGTGAAGGTGGCTGCCTTTGATCAAGGTTGGAAATCGGTCTTGGATTGGTGCAACCAGGATTTTTCATCCTCTTGTTTCATCCTATTGTTTCCAACAGAGAATCAAGCGCCCAAAACCACAAATGAGGAAACTCCTGGTTGTGCCAATGTAGGATACTTTTCACATGAAAGATCACCTGATGGGAATACTGATGAATGCATTCTGTGAAGTGATTTGCTCATTTAATGAACACACCAAATGTTCTGGGGTGAAATTGACAGTTACTCACATGAATATTTCATATATGAAACATGTATGGGGTTTGACACAAGTTGACAAGTCATATGAAATCATATGAGAATGAAAATATATGGGGCCATATATTTTCATATATTGGCTCATACAAATGCACCATATACAGTCCATACATGCCATGTCATATCTGTGTATGGTGAGATCACCTGAAACATGCCTGTATTCAAAAAGGGTCCATTATCCATCAAATACTGTATAATCATTCATGTACAAGTCGCCATACTTTACTAACTTTTCTTGCAATCAACTCATTTTTAATTGTTCATAGATCATAGTCAATTACTCCAAGAACTCATGTTTCATGGTGTTCCACATATGCACCCTTCTTAATGAAGGTGAACATTTCAATATTATATACTTTAATCTTCAAAAGTATTGGGTCGATCGGAAAGTTTTGGCTGTTTCGAGAACATTCCATACAACCGAGTTTTTTTTAAAAAGCAAATAAGTTCATTCAACGAAGTAATCGCCATCACAGCCAATCACCTTCTGCCAACGATCAAGCTGACTCCTGATTCCATCTCTGTAGAACTGAGCTGGCTGAGTCGAAAAAATCAGTCAGCCAGTTTTCTACCTCGGCGTCATCGTTGAACCTTTTCTGGCGAAGATGGTTGTTCAGAGCGCGGAAGAGATGGCAGTCGATTGGCGCCAGATCTGGGCTATACGGAGGGTGAGGCAGAACCTCCCAACCCAGATCCAGCAGTTTCTGCCGTGTGATCTTCGCGACATGCGGCCTTGCGTTGTCGTGCAGGAATCGAACGTGACGGTGCCCTGGCCTCACCGTGCGGAGTTTGTCGGCGAGCTTCTGCAGCTGATCGCAGTAGTAGGCGGCGATGATGCTGGTATCGGGTGGGAGCAGCTCGAAGTCGATCACGCCTTGCACGTCCCACCAAATACACAACATGACTTTTCGGGGGTGCAGGTCACCTTTCGGCTCCGGCTCTGGCTGGGCATCAGCATTGACCCACTGGCGCCTGCGTCGGTAGTTGGCGTATATAGCATTCACTTTTCGTCTCCAGTGACTACGGAATCCAGCCAGTCGTTTGTGCGCCCGTATGACAGCAGCGAAGTGCACACCTCAGCACGGCGTTCGCGGTCGCGGTCGGTCAGATCGTGGGGTACCCACCGACCCAACTTGCTCTTCTTGCCGATTGCAGGCCAGGTGCGTCACGTTCGTGGATTGGGCGCAGCCAAGTGCTGTCGCTAAGTCCCGGGTACTTTGCCTCGGATCAGCTTCCACTGTGTGCTGCAACTGCTCGTCGTCGATTTCAGATGGGCGGCCTGACCTGGACTCGTCCTCGAGGCTGTAATTTTCAGACCGGAAACGATCGAATCATTGTCGCGCTGTCTTTTCATAAACTGCACTTTGGCCAAACGCGGCGCAGATGCGGCGACTCGATTCAGCTGCTGTGATGCCAGATAGGAAGTCGTAAAGAAGGCACTGACGTTGGGCGGTCTTGCTAAAGTCGATTTTGGAAGTCATGGTTATAGGCTTTGAACGACTAAGCAACTGCTGCGTAATCACGCCCACACACCCTTTATGTACTACTACTGTGGAAGGTTCGAGAAAGCTCCAGAAATTTTTTTCCTGGAAAATTCTCGAAACGGCCAGAACTTTACGATCGACCCAATATTTTCATCAGTAATGCTATTTCATGACAAAACGTAGCTTATTCATGTAGGAGTGTCTTCATTTTGACAACTCACAAGATAGATGGGGAAAAAACCTATTTCTTTCTGAAATAATCCAATGAAGGAATTGTTCAATGAAGGCATAGCATGACATGCGCCCCCCACTTAACAACAAAAAACACATTAATATAATGAAAAAGATGCATGAAATGCATGAGAACAGTGTCCCAGAGCTCTTGTTCCCCCCCTCATCCCACACTTTTTTCATCTGCGATACACTTATGCTACCTAGAGAGGGTAGGGCCCAGTTTGAAAACCTGACTGGAATTTTCCAGGTGGACAGAAGCTGCATATTCTGGCCATTTCCAGCTGGCAAAGAGCTGAAAAATGAGATTACAGGTTGTTTTACAGCTGGAAATTTACCATTAGAATTTTATACAGAGGACCCTTCAGTTGGAATACAGCTGAATTTACTGTTGAAATTTAGCTGCTTCTATAGATGGACCTCCAGCAAGAATAGCCAAGAAAAACATTCTCATTCTACCAATGTATTGCAAATAGGAACAATCTAGATCTGACTGCTGCTACCCAGCTGGAAAGTATGGGAAAGTAATGGGTCTGAATTTCAAACTGGGGTCCAGCTGGAAATTATAGCTGTTTCCAACTAGGATTTTAAGCTGGGTGGGTTCAAAATCAAACTTTTGGCAAATTACTTTAAAGGTTATACATACCTAATATTTCATGTAAAATATAATATATGCATTTAAAATTAGTTACTGAGGCATCTGAAGGTCAATTGCCCTCATGTGTAGCAACCTCATGCAGTGGCATATTTTCCAGGGAGGGGGCAAGGGAGTGCAGCTCGCCCACCCCTCCCCCTGGCATCCCTGGGACAGAGCTTGGTGCCCCCACTCTGCTGCCCTGTCCCCCCTGACTCTTCAGCCAAAATACACCACTGACCTCACGCTGTACATGACCATATAGAATCATACACCCTGTCATATGTGGAATTTTCACGTGGGATACCTTCTTTATATGATGGATATAAACCAAGGATAAGATAGAAGGTAGAAATATGGTAATGAGAGTATTTGCAGATTAGGAAGAACAAGTGAATGAGAGTGAGGGTATGATGAGCAAAACAACCACAGCTGACAGGAAGAAAAAAACAGGGTAGATCCATTAAGGTTCAGGGCAATTTTGTTTTTCTCTCTAAATTGTGTGCTACAACGAGTTGGGGAAATTCACAAAATTTGGCATTTCAACCTTCTACCTGGCCTTTTCATTAGTTAAGGTGTTTTCTCCCTAGTTTTGGTAACAGATTTCTGGATCCATTTAGCATTCACATATGAGAATTTAATCCTTGGTATTTTAATATTCAATTTTAATAATCCACCCACATTCTTTCCCCCTAAGTTTCTATCCCCTAAGCTTGATAACTGACTTTATACTTAATTTCCCTAGCATTGAGTTGCAAGAGCAGTGCCCTATTCCGTCATGAGGTGGCATATGTCCTGGGTCAACTACAAAGTGATGCTTGCATACAGGAACTGGCTCAGAGACTATCCGACCTGACTGAGAATGAGATGGTACGTCATGAGTGTGCAGAAGCATTGGGTTCTATTGCAACAGATGAAGCCTTGGCAATTCTACACAAATATCTGAATGATTCTGAGAGAGTTGTCAGAGAATCATGTGTGGTTGCTCTTGATATTGCTGACCAGCTGGAAATCTAAATGAAGATTTTACTCCTTCCAACATTTTTTGGCTTTCATTTTGGGGTAAGGAAGCAATGCCTTGATCAAGCACAGAATAAAAACACAACTGAGATATTTCAATTCAGACTGATTTATTTCTTTATCATCAGCAGAGATAATGTGAGAAACTAATCAATACCCGAGGGAATTGTGTATCACTTCACTGGATCCATGTTCCACAAGCCATCATTCAGATAGTGAATGTTGTCCACTCCAATCCCCTTGTTCACTGATGCACTGGAAATAATATATGAATTACATCATTTGGAAAGTGGAATTCACTGCTTTATCTGGATCAGTTCCATAAAGATCTATATTGGATAATCACATTGGTTGCTGTGGAAATACTCTATCCTACACTGTCCTTAATTTTTTCCAGTAAGTGATGTTATAGTATTCAAAATTGTAAAACTATGTGTGCAATCCAGATCGGTCCAACAATTGATCAATCTGCATCGTACAATATGTTCAAATTAGTCCTGAGAAGAGACCCTTTAATGCAAAGTGATATCATTCAGATTTTGTTATAACCTTGAATGTTAATGGTTTCTGACATCATCTTTCGGAAAAAATTGAAGACAAAGATAAGCCAATAATTTTCCCAGAACCTAGTCAACAAAACAATAATAAAATTCCATTTTCCATTTGCTTCTTGGAGTGAGTTGATTTGCATGCAATAGATACTGTTTAGGTAAGATTAACTTCTCTGGGTGCAAAAGGTATTTATTTTACATTTCCAGAAAAGATTTTCAAGTTGTTCAACTACTTCCAATTCCTATTCAACCATTTCACTGTTATACAAAAACATATCTACCATCCCCCTATGCTATAAAAAAAGCATCTGTTAAAAAACTATGATTTATGCAAAAAAATTAATATGAAAACTAATGAATATAGCAGTTGCATGCCTAAACAGCAATGAAATAACCTAGAAATGGTGAATGGTCAGAGCCCAAGAATATGTACTCTGGCTACCACTACACAAGCCTGAATATGTATTTTGGCTAAAAGTAAAGGGTTGATCACAACAAAAAGGGTGATTCAAAATGACAGCAACCATCCACAGCCTGAACCAGAAAACCTATGCCAACAATACATTCCAGAGGGGACTGCGTCTAATGGACAAAAGAAAGCTTGAAAATTCAGAAGACAAGGAACAGAATGCATTCAAAAGCAAAAGATTGATGGCTGAACTTTTCACAAGAAGTCAAAGGAAATGAAATGGGCAAATGTGCGATGTGAACTAAATCTTGAAGGTATGGAAGACCAAATGACATGTAGAAATGTTGAAATTTGAAGTAATCTCAAGAGAAAAAAAAAGTCTTTAATTCAGTTCCTCAGTCGTAAAGTGAATTTATTGAGCACTATCACAGAGCAATTATATGTGAAGCCCTCTTAGGAGAGACATGTTCAAGCAGTTGCCCTACTCTTCCAGAATTTTGTGTATTCTCTTGTATCTTGTAATGTCTGTTGTTTTCTTTCAGATGATGTTTCCAGCTTCTAGTTGCATGATCATCTGTTTCCCCTTGTTCTTTCTGGAGCTGCTAAATGAAGCTAAAAATTTTCATATGATGCACAAACAAGTAAGATATTTGCCTGTGTCATGCTTCAATTGAATTTGTTGTAAGTGAGCCCCCCCCCCCCCCCAAAGTGTGTTGATGACCATTCCATATCACAGGAATATAGGGCAGAGAAGCTTGGGGCCTTCCACATGATCTTCTACCAGTGAGATAAGACACCCAGAAATATGCCATGATTGGGCCAGTGCTATCTAGCAAGATTTTGAGCAACTTGTTGAACACCTTGCTGATGCCTTCCAAAGGAAAGAATGCAAAAAAAAAGTCATTCAGATTTTCAATGCAAATTGACTCATCTCATCTTCTTCCTCTCAAAAATATATCCATTGAACCTGTGCATTTCCTTGCCTTTTCTTGACTTGCGGGTCCCCTGAACCACCATTTATTAGCACTGTTGGTAAGAAGAGAATCAACTGCCTTGGAACTTGTATCTTAAACCCATACAAAACTCAATGGGGAGGGGGAAGTCTGGCAAAGAAAATCTTTTTTGGCCCATGGGATACGTTCTTCCAGGATCTTCCAATCTTTTCATGTTCCAACATGTCTGCATTCCAATTCTTCACCACTTCAACACTTTTGACTCAGTGTGCTTTTTGCACTTCATTTGTTTGTCTATTATTTCACTCTTTCGATACTGACCCATTCCAAAGCTCATTCAACATTTTTTTTTGGCTTTTAGCATTTTGCTTTGAGTAATAGGAACAGAAAACCCTCTGACAATGAGGCCAAGTTCATTGCTGAAACTCAGCCTATATTATTGTCATAAGGAGCAAAGACATCTATGAGTTCTCAGGGAAACAAAAGAGAGCCAACAGGCAGCTACTGGAAATTGAAGACATGCAAAAGAAAAATCTATTCAAAGTGTTCTCTAAGAACTCCCAACAGGATGTTGAGCAGTTCCAGATCAACTACCCACTCAGGACCAAGCAAAACCATAGAGAAACGTTTATGGCTCTTTGAGTTCCTGCAGAAATGGGATGTAGATGATTTCCTTCCATATTGCAACATATGATGAACTTTCTTCATGTATTCAGTGAGGAAAGCAAATGAGCAAAAAGTATTTGGGCTCAACTCAGGAGAAAGAGTTGGGAGTTTGAAGTTTAGTACCTTGGTAAAACACCCAGCGTTCATTGAAATCTGCATCACACACACACAAGAGGATGTTACAGATCTAACAAGGGACACTACCCAAGTGATAATTTCAGATTTTCACCAAACTTTGGTCATTGAAAGGGCTCTCAAAACAAAGCCAAACGGCACCAAAATTTGCGGTTGAGAAACAGGTTTAGGCTCATAACAGGCTCTCTCAGTTTTCAGCGATACATGATTATTATAGTCACAGCCCTATTTTCTTTGACCATAACTTTCCAAGGGAAAGTCAGATTCAGGTGATATTGGACAGAGTTTCTTCAGTGAAGGAGGTTTTTTTTTCCATGCCACTAGGTGGCGCTGTATCTGCCTTTTCCTTAAAAAGTTATAACCAAAAAAGTTCATTTGTTAGGTCAAAATGCAACTTTGTTTGTCCATATCTTTTGAAAAAACTCTCAGATGCAGATTATAATTGGCAGAGACATTCATAGGCCTAAACTAATTTTTTCCATTGCCTAAAAAATGGCATAGCTAGTAGGCGCTGCTGCCAACATCATTGCCCTCTATCGGCATGCAGCATCGCCTTGCAGCATGGAAAAAAACCTCCTTCACTGAAGAAACTCTCTGTCAAATATCACCAGAATCTGACTTTCCCTTGGAAAGCTATGGTCAAAGAAAATAAGGCAGTAACTATAATAATCATGTATCACCGAAAACTGAGTGAGCCAGTTATGAGCCTAAACCTGTTTCTCAGCCACAAGTTTTGGTGCCGTTTGACTTCGTTTCGAGAGCCCTTTCAATGACCAAAGTTTGGTGAAAATCTGAAATTATCACTTGGGTAGTGTTCCTTGTAAGATGGAGAAATCTGGGGTGACAATGTTTCCAAGGCATTGTTTTGACTCAACCCCATCCCTTATATGAAGAATTCAGAGACCCATTGACTACAACAGGTGACACTCCTTGCAAAAGCATTTAGCACAAGGATATTGGCCATACAACAGGAGTTCCACAGAAACTGCTTCTATTTTTTGGACAGTTGGAACAGTAGAATGGTAAAGTTCCTCACCAGCTTTTAACATCTGTATGGTTTGTGCAAATTTGTAAGGTAATGTGGAATGTTTTATGCTTCAAGAGGTTGGACAGAATTGCAAAACTAAGAGAAAACTTGAATTCCTATCCTTAATGTGCGAGCAGACTAGGCAACCATACTATTTATTAACCCTTTCATTGGCATTGATGTCTTTTTGTATTCAGGAGATGCCAATGCCTCCAGGAGGAGGTTGGAGATTTGAATTTTTGTCTGCCAGTTACCTTCCTGGTCTAGGTTATGAAGGGTCACCACTCTTTTTGAGTCACCTTTTACTTCCACATACAGGGTGTGTCAGAGAAGACAGACACATTTGAAATCGATAAAAAAAAATTTTGCTTGCTGGTATTTCCCTCTTATTTACAGGTTTTAATATTCTTCAAGGTTTGGAATTTTATCTGTCATGAATCAATGGGAATTTGCTCACCATACGAACATAGTGGACTTTTTTTTTTGCAAAAGGCTCCATTGTGCAAGTGCAATGTGAATTGAAACACAAGTTGAGCTTCTTCTGGCCCTTTCTTACTCACCTCCTCCTCCTCATCCTAGGCCATCCTCTTATACTCCTGACTCAGGTTGAAGTGTTGGGCTTGCATAATGGAGCCTTTCACAACAAAAAAAGCCACTATGTTCGTATGGTGAGCAAATTCCCATTGACTCATGACAGATACAATTCCATACCTAGAAGAATATTAAAACCTGTAAATAAAAGAGAAATATCAGCAAACAATAATTTTTTGTAGATATCAAATGTGTCCATCTTCTCTGAAACAGCACATATTTTCTAAAAAGTCAAGGAAATCAACAGTTCAAGCTTACATTTGCTCTGTGGACATTTTTGTGATCCCAATTGCAAGAGCATGCTGCTTCCCTTCTGCCATGATAGCCTGGAAATGGGTTAAGGAAGGATTTCCCAATTTCAGAACACCTCAACTTCACCACATAGGATGCAATTTATCTGCAATTTTTAAATGTGAATGTGAAAGTCTGACACCACAGGAAAGCTATTTTGAAAGTACTGTCTGCCAAAAGTCTTCCAACACTTTTTCATTATAGAAATTCTCAGCACTTATAGTATCATCACAAAAAATTTTTACATTCTCATACAGCTTAATCTATTACCTTTGCAAAGTACCCACTTATGTCGTGATTTGTGTCATTGTTTGTCCAAAATTTGCCTCAAAATTTATCTGGTTCTAGAGAAAATGTGCTTCTCACATTGTATGCAAGAGGAATAGTAGGCTTTTCCAGCAATCAGTTGGTGATGGATTTTAATTGTTCCATGCTGAAAAACCAAACCAGATGGATTCCAAGCCAAATTATGGATAAATGATGACATAAATCATGACATGGGTGGGCACTTGGCAAAGGTAACAGATAAAGCTGTCTGAAGATATAAAAATATTCTCCGATGTCATAGATGCTGAGAGTTTCACTCATGAAAAAGTGCAGCAAGATTTTTGGAGGGAATTATAGCTCATAATGTAAAATACCTTGAAAACTTTTCTTGGTGGGTTATTTAGGCATCCCTTGAAAACTTTTCTCTGTGGGTTTTTGAGCATCCCATGTCAGAATTTCTTAACCATGGAATACATCTTTTATTTGTTCTAGTGATTGAATCTAGGCCTAAAAGTGACAGAATCATGAAGGCCAACATTCCAATAACTTCACATGCAGATGCCATGTTAACTTACATGTGTCAGGCAATGTTAGAGTGAAATTTGCCCATTAAAGTGAAAAGGGACAAAGAGACAGTCACAACTGATCTTGAATTTGTGTTGTATAATTGCTATAACACTTTTGCTCTGAATGCCATACAAGTACGTCATCCCTTTTCTAGCAGCAGGTTCTGAGTGACATACTGGTACATCCTGGAGATTCATGCTGTGATATAAAAGTGTAGGATTTTTATGCATCATTGGAGTTTGGAGATATTCATGGTTTTCAGTCTGTACTTCATTACACTCTAGCTAGATTTTAGAAAATTGACTTTGTGCACAAAAAAGAGCTGAAGCAAGAGTTGTGTCAGTTGGCTGTAATGAGCAACATGGCAGATAGAGGATCTGCCCTGCATTGTGCTGCATCACAAAATCTTTCATCTTCTTATATGGACAATGAAAGATCTTCTGATCCTGGGATTATAAGCTATAGTCATGCCTTTGGAGCTCCATAACCTTGGTAGTGATTAATTCATTCACTCTTAGCGAAATGGCAAAAACTTATTTAAAGTACATCCCCATTGAAATACGTGACATATGGGGATGAAAGTCTTGATTTTTAACAAAAATCATTACTTCTATGATTTCTAGTGTGCCTAACTTGAATTCTTTTCATGTGTCCCTTTTTGCAAGGGTGGAGAATACATTTTGAAATACTTTCCTCCTATAATCTATGCTAAGGGGACATATTTCAAAAGGAAAATTTTTCCTGTACTCAGCTATCAAACAGGTACTTCTGAGGGAAGCTTAACACGTTGGCGACAATGCGTCCTGATGCCAGGATGACGGCGGACAAGCAAAAATAGGCTGGTCGTCAACGTGTTAAATTTTCTGTCTCTGTTTCGTTGGATCAAAAAAAATTCAGGAAAATGGGACGTAGAAAAAAGTGCCCTGATGAGTTTTAATGAAAATTTTTTTTCATCGGAAATGGACACTCAGGGAACTCCATGCTATCCAGTTTCAGCCTTATACGCTTCCCCTTTTTGCTGGCAGAAAAAATGTATTTGGAAAAGCGACCCACCCAAAAGCTGTGCCCTGAGGACACAAAAAAAACAAAAAAGTTGAATTTTTCCTTAAATGAACATCACATCTATTATGCGTGAGCCAGCTGCTACTTTTCTATTTCTGTCTGATTTGCTAGGATATGAAAAATTCTTTGAAAACATAACATCTCCAAGAAATATGCTCCCAAAAATATTTTTGGAAATTTGACATTTTTCTTGAGCTTAGTGTGTCAGCAGTCACATTCTTGCCAAGTTTCAGCTTTCCATGTCTCTCTGTTTTATGCAAGCAAAAATATACATTTAAAAATTTTACTGAAATCTATGCTCAGGGAAGACTCAGAGAACTCCATGACCACAAAGTTTCCCCAGAGGGGAAGCTGAATACTCCCTCAACTCAATAATATCATGTCACTTATACGTGTGCCAAGTTTCACCTTTCCATTTCTGCCCAATTTGCCATGGACAAGAGGTGAGTTCAGGAAAAATTGCATAATTTAGATACATGCCCTGAGGGTATATTTTCATGGCCAAAGTTTTCAAGTAATTTTTTTGTCCTTGCATATTGAGCTAGTGTGGAAAGGTGATACTTGATACATAACTACCTATTGGGGTGCTACGTGCNACTTAACATTTTTCTTTAACTCCTTGTCTCAGTAGTCACATTCATACATTCATGCCAAGTTTCAGCTTTCCATGTTCATCAGTTTAACTGATGCAAAAAAATTATTTGAAAACATCTCCCTTTGAAATTTGTGCCTCCAGGGCATTTACCTCCAAAGTCTGAATTTTTCTGCACGTAGCACCCCAATAGGTAGTTATGTATCAAGTATCACCTTTCCACACTAGCTCAATATGCAAGGACAAAAAAATTACTTGAAAACTTTGGCCATGAAAATATACCCTCAGGGCATGTATCTAAATTATGCAATTTTTCCTGAACTCACCTCTTGTCCATGGCAAGTTTCAGCTTTCCATGTCTCTCTATTTTATGCAAGCAAAAATATATATTTAAAAATTTCTCCCCCCAAAATGTGTACCCCCAGGGCATGTACCTCCAAAATCTTATTTTTTCTGAACTCTGCATCCCAATAGGTACTTGAGTACCAAGATTCAGTTTTCGAACTTTTCTAGAACATGGTTAGAATTAGTGTCAGTCAGTCAGTCAGTCACAACTGTCTATATATATTACATGATAAATCTATGTATACCTGAAATCACTTTCAAGAAAAGTGTTGTATCATAACCTCAAAAACATAGTGGACAGAGGAAATTCAGGGATACAACAATTAGGTGCAGTACCTGTGAAGTGCCATTATGCATTATTCCATGTTTTGAGGCTTACCATATGAAGAAAAGGTTTTGGGAATAATGTGCCAGGAAACATGAATTGTTTCAGCACAACAAATTCTATCAGCAATTATTGAATATAAGTTAGACATTGAGAATGGACAAGAGCTCCTACTGGTACTGGAATGGAGGATACACTCCCATGTTTTCCTTCCCCCTCATCCAGACCACGTTGAGCTCTTATTTAATTTAAATCATTCTAATTGTCTTTTGCAGATGGTCTTTATGAGTTTATTCCAAGTGAATAGTAGATAAATAAACCAATCAACCTACCTAGCGAGATTTCTCAACTTTTTTAGGATTTCCCTTGCTCTATGTCAGGTTGAGTTTGGAGGGTATGACAAAAAAGATCAATAACTTTAAGCATACCAAATGATTGCTCAAGTCATAGATAGTCAAATGTGCCGAGGATTTGGCATATTTGAAAGTCAACAAGGCTGCAGGAAATTTGAAACTTTAGCAGAAAAGATGCTTTGAATGAACTCTACCTTTACGCAAAATAAGCCCTGCCCCAAAATAAAATTTTTTGTAATAGGAAGTTATTATAGGGAGTTACTTTGCCTTCACTTTCCAAAATTTTCTGATGCTATAGAATTCTGAGGTTGTAAAAAAATGTTAAAAGAAGAAATAGAGGTGGTCCATGACTTAATTTTTTTTTATTGGATGAATCAGGATGGATGCTAACCAAGCTTCAGAAACCAACTTAGGGTTGGGTTGGGTCAGAGCAATAGGGCAGGCCCACAGAAGACTTTATCTCTTCCTTGGCCAAGGTGGGAGGGGGGAGAGGAGGAGGTTGTTTCAACTCATAATAAAAGAAATGTTTGTTTTCAAAATTCCTTGTTTTGTTTGAGTTGCTGGTTCTAAAAAAATCTAACAGATACACCTATGTAACCTTCCAGACATCAATATATGGATCCGAACATATCTACCAACCTACACACATATGTAGTGAGTGGATTGGTTCTCTAAAGAAGGGACACATACTTAACACTTTGGCCACAGCAGCAATCATATGATGCCCTATGTCCAGAGTGCATTCAAATTAGCCAGGGTTGGAAGTGTTAATAATTGCACAGCCAACCTCTGACTTGAGTTCCCTTGTCCTGTCTTGTACAGGATCATGATATAATGCAAAATATCTCCTGGCCATTTACAATGACAGGATAGATCGTGATATTAAAAACATCTATTCGGAATGTATGGAAGTTGAAGAAACAACAGAACCACCATTTCTTAAGGCACACTAACTTGGATTTAAACCTAAGTATTTAGAATTAGCAGATACTGACCAGTATCTATGATAAGAGAAGGGACTATTTCTTTAAAATACTGAACATCCCCTCCCACATAATCAAAAATGTGATAAAATCACAGCTAAATAGATATTTGCAAATCTGCGATTTAAAGGATGATTTCATTTTTAACTGCGACCTTCTTCATAAGACATTGAGCTGTAATGGATATCCAGGTTGGATGCTTAACAAAAACTTTAAATTCTTCAATAAAGCCCACTATTTGCCAATCTCAAACAAATACAGAGAAGTGGGTGGAGACAATATTTTCTCCTCTTTCATAAAGTGAGACCCTCCATAGACAGGTTCCAAAGCCATGACTCCCAAGCCATAGGCCTAGGCGAACTGGCCCAGGACCTAGACCTAGGCCAGATTATACCCCATGGACCATAGGCCTAAGCGAGACTACAGGCTCTATGTCAGGAGCCAAGTTCCTCCTGTCTACAATAGCTATCATATTCTGCCTTTTCTCCCCTTTCTTCCTGTCATATTTCTAGATCTTTTTCCATAGGGAACAGTTTTATTTAAGGTTCAGAGTTGTCTCTCTCTGACACATACTCAGGCTCGGATTGCAGCTAATTTATTACTTATCCCAGTTAAATGATCCCAGTCCACTGGCTCTCTCTCTTTGCCAATCTCTCTTTGATTAAAAGCCTATGGAAGTGGTGGAACCCTTCGGGCATGAATCTCCACACCAGGGGAAGCCTTTTACTGCCAAACAGTGGTCCTGCAGGTAGTGACTTGAGCATTGTCATGTCTGCATGCACAGAACACTGCACTTGGTTCCTCTAGGAACCAAAGGTGTGAACCTTACTCAGCTAATGGACTGTGCAGGAGTGGTGCATGCAGGATGGACTTAAGCTGTGGAAGCTTTGTTACATCTGTTGCAGCAGCCACTATCTTCTTCCTTAATGATTATTCCCTGGTGTGGAGATGTCGAAAAGGGTTCTACTACACTGCAAGTTGTTTGGTAGGATCATCCCCCTGACGAGACTCCTACGACTTGCCAGCCCATTAGGTCTCCTTAGCTATCCTTCACTTTTTAAAATATATTCTCTTCTCATTTTCTCACAATAGTTCAGGCTCGTGCTGGCCGTAAGGTCTGGCTTGATCGGCATAATTTTCTCACTAATATATATACTGTATATACATATATATAATGTTGAGTTCTATGTTTAATAAAAAGACGGCTATTAAGCAAATACCTGGTAGGGCAGTTGCCCGCTTCCCACCAAGGCACACAGATAGTAAAAGGAATTACCAATGGTGGCTGTACCAGCCAAACCAATCAACCCTGTGGTGGTCAACTTCCTACAACAGACAATGCCTCGCTGGAAGACGGTCATGTCCCTAAATGGACAAGACTCCACCCTGACAACCTGCAAGATTTCCATTCACCACGGGATCTTCCAGGGAGACACACTGTCTCCTCTACTCTTCTGTCTGGCTCTCAATCCACTCAGTACTGAATTGTCTTGGACTGAATGTGGCTATTATGTAGGAAAGGGGAAGAATGCAGACCATCGCATGAACCACCTTCTCAACATGGACGACCTGAAACTCTACACCTCCAAGAAGAAAGAGCTCGATAGCCTACTCAACGTTGTCAGCATCTTCTTGAAAGACACCTGCATGAAATTCGGACTTGACAAGTGCACAAAACTCTCTGTCCACCACGGAGTCCTCACCCCTATGGGAGACATCACCTACATCAACGATGAACAACTCCGAGAGCTCACGGCCCCTGACACCTATAAATATCTCAGTGTGGAAGACCAATCTTCCATGGCTGCCAAGCGCACGAAGCAGAGACTGACGACAGAATACAAACACAGAGTCCGCCTCGTACTAAAGACCGAGTTGTCCGGCAAAAATAAGATCTCTGCCCTAAACAGACTTGCCACCCGTCCTCAACTACAGCTTTGGAGTTATCGATTGGTCACTTACGGAACTCCAGGCCATCAATCAAGGGACCAGAAAACTCCTGACCATGCATCACACCCACAATCAGAAGGCTGCCGTCATAAGACTCTACCTTCCGAGATGCAAGGGAGGGAGGGGACTGATCGAACTCAAGTCCCTCTATAAGCAGACAACGTGCGAAGTCACCAGATATATCGAAAGGAAGCAGGGAAGACTCATTTCCATCCTGAGAGAGCAAGATGCCATAAAGAAATCCCACTCCATCCAGGGAGATGCCACCCGCTTCCAAAATGCACTCCATCTCAATGATGATTATGACACGATGGATGTGAAGACGGCAGACCAAAGACAAAGTGAGGCTCGATGGAAGGAGAAACTGCTTCACGGCCAGCACCCCAAGATCATGGATAAACCATCGATCAACTTGGACATCAGCTATAATTAGCTGAAGAAGGGACTGTTGAATGCCAAGACAGAGAGCAACATCCTAGCCATTCAGGACCAGTCAGAACTTGTAACTACGAGAAGCACGTCCTGAAGCTGGCTGTGGAAGTCCACTGCAGATGCTGTCATGAACCACACAAAATGGTTCACCACCTCCTCAGTGCCTGCCCCGAACTAGCCCCAAGGGAGTACCTGTACAGGCACAACCAGGTGTGCAAATATGTACACTGGTGTGTCTCCAAGCAAGCCGGCCTGTAAGTCCCAGGGAAGTGGTACGAACACCAGCCAGAGTCTGTTGTGGAGAACTCCTCCACCAAGATACTATGGGACATGCCTATAATTACAGACCACAGTATAGGCTGTAATAGACCAGACCTCATGATCTATAAGAAGGAGAAGAAGACCGCCCTCCTCGTAGATGTGAGCATCCCAGCTGATAATAACCTCCAAGAGAAGACCAGGGAGAAGCTGGAGAAATACTCTGAACTGAAATTGGAAGTAGAACAGTTGTGCGGAATGAAGACCACCATCGTTCCAATCATCATCGGCACAATTGGCATCATCCTGAAAGACCTCAAGGGACATGTCAGGAAGCTGGAGTGTGAAATCTCACTCGATATTCTCCAGCATACAGCAATCTTGGACACAGCCAGCATCCTCCGCCGTGTCCTTCAGAACTAGGTGAGTATGAGGTCTGGGATGTGGTTCATCTCCCCTCATAACTTCCATACCAGCTAGTGCCATGGAAGGATTTATTTATTTATATGTATAGAGGTGAATTAAAGGTGCTTAGAGGTGGATCATTTCACCTCAACTGAGGTGATTTCCTGTGCTCGACCGTCTCAGAATTCAATGAAATCTGCAACTTTAACTTTTCAGGGGACTGTTTGATCCAGCTGATACTTGACGGAGAGAATCAAGAGTCTAAATTTTTTTTTCACTTCTGCAAGATGGCGCTGCTGTTGACTGGGTGACCCAGAGTGATAAAAAAAAGGTCCAACCTTTTTCAAAGGGAGAAAGTACTCGTACGACCTGTGTATTCAAGTAAAAAATTTAAGATTCATAAACTCTTGATATTGATCATATGAGAATTGAGAAGATTGTCTTGCACTTGCAGGGGTGCAAGTCTTGGTTTTTGTTTCTGGAAAATTCTCTGAGCCATGTATTGTCCCGTTACACAGTTTACAGGCGGAGCATTATAGCTGGATCCGACAGTCCCTTGAAAAGCTAAAGTTGAAAATTTCATTGAATGCCTGTGCTTGACTGTCAGAAATCACCTCAGTTGAGGTGAAATGATCCACCTCTAAGCACCTTTAATTCACCTCTAAATGGGCATCGCATGACTTTGGCAGGGGTGCTAAAAAAAGCTGGCAACCATTTCAACACCTTGTAACTGTTAAATGTCAATCGCGTATCAAATTTAATTTTTTTTGCTACATTTATGAAACTGTTTCTCCCATAGGAAATGGTAGAGCGTTTTTTAAAAACCACTCTATATATATAAATCCTTCCATGGCAACTGCCAATATTGGAAAAATAAGGGGGGATGAACCACATCCCAGACCTCATACTCGCCTAATTCTGAAGGACATGGCGAAGGATGCTGGCTATGTCCAAAATTGCTGTATGCTGAAGGATATCGAGTGAGATTTCACACTCCAGCTTCCTGACATGTCCCTTGAGGTCTTTCAGGACGACGCCAGTTGTGCCTATGATGATCAGAACGATGGTGGTCTTCATTCCACACATATGTTCTACTCCCACTTCCATTTCAGAGTATTTCTCCAGCTTCTCCCTGATCTTCTCTTGGAGGTTATTATCAGCTGGGATGCTCACATCTATGAGGAGGGCGGTCTTCTTCTCCTTCTTATAGATCATGAGGTCTGGTCTATTACAGCCTATGGGGTGGTCCATAATTATGGGCATGTTCCAGAGTACCTTGGTGGAGGAATTCTCCACTACAGCCTGTGGCTGGTGGTCATATCAACTCAGGTTAGTGAACTTGGACTTCAGATAATTTTTCTCAAATCAGCAATGCAGAACTGTCACAACATGGTGATAGCATAAGAGTCAATTATTCCATCAGAAGTAGAAAAAGGATACAACAAGGGTCTTCTCAGAGGCAGGGGTCATGAGGGCCCCAGGAGAGGTGAGTCCAGGGCACATGATGTTGGCACCACTAAGCACAAACTTTATTGCTCCCTTGTCCACCTGTTCCCATGGTAGTAAGAAAGGATCTATGGGAAGCAGAAATGAAGAAACAGACATTAATTTCTCTATCTTCCATGTACACTGTACATAATATCAAGTTTTAAATATTTCCAATCAGTTGAGGGAAGGGGGGGGGGGGGCTTTTCTCCATATTTTGTGAATAATTTTTCCCTTGTCTGAGCCTTCTGCAGATAGCTTAATTATAGTGTATAGGAGTGAGCTTCATACATGTTGTATATTGGTTGGGACAACTGGCAAATGTCTTGACCCAATGCAAAAATTATTAGTAAACATGGCATGATGCTTCATGACTCTTTTCCAAAATACTGCAAACCCTTCCCACTCAAAATGATGTGACAATCAAGGAATTCTGTTATCCTTCATATGAGTTCCAGAAAGTCTCAAAGAAACACATCAGCAGGAATCTATTCTCTTCTATCTATATTCTCTTCTCTTGCAAAACTCTCACTGAATCTCTGTCTGAAGCCTCTCTCTCGGTCTCATCAACCCTCACCTAATGGGATAAGGTAAATCTATTCCAGACACCTTCTCTCACTTGCCCTGCTCAGAGTTTTCAAGAAAAGCACAGTAAATATATAATCCTTTCAGCATTGTGGTTTTCTATGAAATTCTGGGTTGTTTTGCATCAACTCAACCATAAAGACAAAAATAATGAGATCATGTTTGCAACCATCCATTGTAATCCAGAATCAATACTACAACATAAACTTGGTTAAATTTTAGGTAAGAAGGTACAGTAACTTACTGTTTATTGAAAAAATGAAGGACCTACATTTATGCAGTAGACGAAGAGTAGGAACCCACTGTCCTTCCCTGTGACGAAAGAAGAGATGGTCTCCAGCAGAGTTCACAAAGATTTCAATGTGATCATGACTGAAAATAGAAAGAAAAATTATTAATAGGTCTGCCTAACTACTTAACATGTTGACGACCAGCCTATTTTTGCTTATTCTGATGGCTGAGCTGATTTTCATAGTTATGTACTGATTTGCTTTAACAAATTCATAGACACAAGCCTTGTACACTTCAGTCATTGCAGTCAAGGGCCAACCACTTAGTGCAGCATCTTCACCAAGANGAATTTTTTTTGAATTTTTATCAGTAATTACGAAATCATAATCTTCTGGAACGTTCTCAACAGTTCCAGAGGGTATTCATTGAAAAAAAATCTGCATCCTGGCATCAGGACGCATTGTCGCCAACGTGTTAATAAAGAAGGAAGAATAGTTTTATTGATGATTTCACTGCAGTTTACTGAAAATAAGGAAGATCATTATGCTCTAGCTGTCATGTGAAACACTTTTTAGGAATGACAAGATATGGAATTCCATGTATTCCAGTGACATGCACCCAATTTGCATGTTACTAAAATTGAACATGGCCTAACATGGACTAACCGCATGTTCGGAGAGCAAGGTCACAGAAATGGTTTTCTGGAATCAGAATTGCAAAAGTCCATCACGACAATTATGCCATATTGTGAAATGTTGCTTAAGAAATTGAAACCCACTATTCACAGCAAATGTGGACTGTTGACAAGTGGACATGTTAATGCAGTGTGGCAGTGAAAGGCCACATTCTACAATGTGTCATCATTCAGGAATTTGGGTGGGAAGTGGTAAACAGTAAATAGCCTGGACCTAGCACCTTGCAACTCCCATTTGTTTTGTCTATTGAAGAAAGTCCTTCGAGGGTGTCATTTCACAGCCAAGGAATTATTTGCCACTGGTATAAGGTAACAGGTTTACCACAGGAAAAGGAGTATTAAAGCCATCATGATTATGAGGAATTCTAGCTCAAGTGGTAATAGAGAGTTTTGGTTACCTGTTTTTGAGGAGGATGGGGACGAAAACAAATTACTAGGTGTTCAAGTTCTAGATTTTCGAATGGCAGTTTGGCTATGCATTCCAGATCTGGAATGGAGAGTAACATCCATGGATCTCACTGCAGATGGTGTGCAAACGACACCTAATTTAAGGGTATGGTTGACTCAGTGATACACAGCTAAGGTACAACCTGGTAAACTCACAAATCCCCAGATATCCAAATGTTATGCATATCCCCCTTGTTTTGATCTACTGCAATTAAATTTTCTTTCCTTAAGAAGGGTTTTCACAATAGGAATGAATGCCTCAGTTTGCCTATTGGATTAATGTTCTTGATTCCTTTGTTTGTTCATCATGGTCGCATTGCAATCCTTGGCTACAACCAGAGTCCCTCTGTCCTATTTTCTCATCATTCGCCATCGCCAATAACATATTATGCTTCCTTTCTGTCTATCTATCATGGCAAAGTAACTGAAGTTCATGTCTGGGTTGCATCCTACTTCTCTGATGGTGAAGAGGACATGTCAGTTGCTGTCCTGGGGGATATTTGGCTAAAACCCAAGTTGGGGATGTGAGACAATTGTCCAGAAACCCATCTCAAGCAAAACATACATTTCTATCAGTCAGGAAACCCTTGCTGTAGATGCGAGACAATTGCCTAGAAATCTAGGTTGGCCTACATAAGCAGCCAGGCCTGTTCTATTCCTTAAAATATCCTTGTGCACTGCTGCTATCTGGAGGGGAGTGTGTCATTCAGTCATTTCATCATTCCATAGGTAGCCAGATACCAAGATAGAAGGAAACAAGCTTGTGTTTCAGCAGTGTTCTTTAACCTGTTTTTGTATTTGGAGGGGAATACTGGTGGTGAGATACACTGTTGTCTATGCAACCTATTAAGGGATGATGCAATGATTAAAATAATTGTGCATGAGTGGAGAGCAAGTTTTGAAAGTGGTCAGATCTTGGTGAAGATGCTGCACTAAGTGGTTGGCCCTTGACTGCAATGACTGAAGTGTACAAGGCTTGTGTCTATGAATTTGTTAAAGCAAATCAGTACATAACTATGAAAATCAGCTCAGCCATCAGAATAAGTAAAAGTACTCTGGAAAAAATTCTGAACAAATTGGATATGGCAGAATTACTGCAAAGTGGATACCCAAGAACCTGAGTTTAGACTATAAAAATGTCCACAGGTTGCACAGCTCATCATCCACTTTCAGTGGACTGTAATCACCCACCCACCTTATAGTCAAGACTTTGCACCCTCATAATTTCATTTGCTTGGAATGATGAAGGCACATGTTTGAGGAGTGCATTTTTCTGGAAGTGAAGACCTTCAGAATGATGCAATCCAGTGACTTCATCAAGAAGATACAGACTTCTAACAAGGGAGCATCTACTCCCTCCCCTCCAGATGGCAGAAGTGCATTGATGTGAACAGGAAATATTTGGAGGAATAGAACAGGCCTGACAGCTAATGTCTAATGCTAATGCAATTTTTATTTACATCCAACCTTAAGTACATTTTTTTTCAATGGTGTGCAGAAACTTATAGGGCACCCCTCACTTAATAGATTGAATGCAGGTCAGGAATCAAATTTACCTTTGGAAGAGATTCAGAACTATTTCACAATGGATTGCAATCTACAGAGATGTCATGGGCATGTATGGTGAGACTTGGCCCATTTCTGCTTGAAGTATATATTGCAGCAAAAAGTCCAAAACTAGAAAATACTTTATAAGCACTCTTCCCTTCTCCAACAAGGCAGTTGCTTTTCTAGCAGTGACTGTCACCTTATTTATGTAAGGGCAAGCTTCACATGCAGTTGTCTTACTCTCCCAAGTGAAAATTTCATATAAGACCATATAGGAAATGGTCATATATTTAGCCAGTCTAACATATATGGAGTTTGACACAAGTCACATAAAATCATACTCCCTCTGTCCAGAAATGATTGTCCTGTTTCACTTTTTCTTGAAAATTAAGGCTGGCTTGGGGCATTAATAAATTCTGCTTATGTAACAAAATAGTCTTCGGTGTCCTCTATAGCTCATATAGATTTGAGCATTTGGACTCCTTTTAAGGTGCAGTTTTGGGAGCCGAAAAATTCTTATTTGTAAGAGTTTTTGAACCACACCGATTAGTCCAAAATTACATCAATGGAAATTCTCGCTTCAGCACCTTGGGGAGGAGAGTCACTACTGCACATTACATCCCCGTAGCCCGTGCCCTCGATTGATCAACGGCAGCAACCAACAGAAAACCTCATGGAGACCGAATCCCTGGCGACAAAAAAAAACCTTACCAACGACCAGCGGCGCGCGATATACGACTTTCTTTTGTCGGGTATACGCGACAAAAGAAAGACGTTGCTATAGCCACGATGGAAACCTGAAGTATGGGTCGTGGGTCGGAAAGGACAAACTTACGCGTTTGGGCCGCCTACCGCTTAATTTGCTGTGCCCTATGGATGTTGTAAAATCTGCTCAAGAGTCCCTTTAAATAAACCCTTAACTCCCTTACAAGATCTTTATTGAGAAACAAATTCATTGGCTTCGCTTCACTGCATGTCAATGCAGGGTGAATACTATTGCCACAATGGTGGGACAAAGGTTACTTATGACATGGGGAAGTGTGTCCCTGTTGAGCCACCAAGTGAGTCCAGTTCTTTTATTGGGCTCATCAACAACTAACTACAAAATCTATAGTCACCAAGAGTCGTCAGTCGAAGTGTCTGCCAATCCATCAGGCGCGTTCTTCTTTAGTTAAGAGTCGAAAACCAGAAACAGGACAATCATTTCTGGACAAATAAAAATGGGAAACAGGACAATCATTTCTGGACAGAGGGAGTATAAGAATGAAAATATATGGCCCCATATATTTTCATATATTGGCTCATACAATTGCACCATATATGCCGTCACATCTTGTCCATACATGAAGTTAAACATGTCTACGTATGGTGAGAATGCCTGACAAATAAATACCCACATCCTAAAAGGGTACATATATTTGTTTTTCCTTTCTCATGCCAACTTCCTTGAAATTTCAGTCAGTTTCTGATGAAATGGAACCAGTGGAGGGGGGAGGGAGGGGAATAGAGGGGCACAACTGAATACATGGATGAAAAAAGGGAACTGAAAAGTTCATGCACTGCTGCCCTAGAGTTCTCCCACTTTTTTCATCCTCGACACACTTTTGCTATTTAGGGAGAGTAGGGGTTTGGGAAGTACGTAACTTTAAATGGTTATACATAGCTAATTTTTCATGTACAATGTAATGGGTAAATAAAATATTACTAGCAGAGGTATCAGAAGGTCATGGCCTTCACGTAAAAACCTCATGCAGTGGCAGCAGGGAGTGCAGCTGCCACCACCTTCCCCCCATGGCATCCCCTGGGATGGAGCTTGGTACCCCCATGGAGGCATGATTTTTCTCCCCAATATCACTTGGTGGGGTTCAAGGACTCCTCCCCCTTGGCTGCCCTACCCCCTTCTAGCCCACTTGGCCTCATGCTGCATTCACTAACAGCCATAAGACTTGCAGTGGATATTCACCACATGTCAGACATGATGCCATTAGCCTATGACTTTTGATATTGTATTACAGACAATATATATTATATACCATACAATTGATAATATATTAATACAAATATGGTGGTATATTGCAAATATATGATCATACATGGCCATATAGAATCATACACCCTGTCATATACAGAATTTCCACATGGGCTATTGCCAGTGTTGGGAGCCTTTTTACATGTGAGCCATATTAAGATCAAGCCAACTGCTTGTGAGTGAAAGATTTTCAGGACATAATTTTTATTGAAGTTTGCAACAGACATATAGATTCTTTGATATATGAGAAAAATGAGGAAGAACAATGATTTTCAGCCATGACTCAATGAACCAAACTTTTTGGTTTGTGAGCCAAATATGGCTCATGAGCCATAGGTTCCTGACCTCTATGGGTATCAAAGTTATGCATCCAGCAGCCAAAAATCCAATTTATCGAAAGGTTCAATTTCAAATTTAGGGGCATGAAAAAGCACTTTTCTCCATTGTGACACTTCAAGTCAAGTTTGAGCATTTATATGAAGACTTGTCATGGAGGACATTCTGCAATTTTCAATCCTAATTTTTTCACTCTGGAACCAAAAGTGATGTATGCACACAGTTTGACATGCTTGTGCCAGAACATGTCAGGAGAATGCCTGAGGATGCAAATCTTATTATTCACATTGTAGGTGATAACAGAATGGAAGATGATAAGAAAGTATAGTAGAAACAGTTATTAAATTCTTATTCATTAAGGGGGGTGAGGAATCTGCTGTGAACATTCATGGCTGTATGCAGAATGTGACCATTAATGATTGCATGAGATACTTGAGAGTGAAAATGTGGGTAGGACATTTCAGCGCAAAGACACAACCTGAGACCTTCTACAGTACAACGGGAACAAGCAATATGTCTAGTTACAATGACAATAGAAGCATATAAGCATATAAGGATTAGCAAAATTCCAGCACAGGATGCCTAAGGTGGTAATGTATAAATTTTTGTATTGTGTTGTGTTCAATGACCACTTAGGCTACAAGACCTGACAAATTTCTTTCTACAGCAGCATGCTAAGGGCAAACATCAAATTATACATTTCAAAGATATGCAAAAGGTGAAGACATTTACTTATTGAATTTATGGCATTCAGGTTAAGTTGTTTTAGATGCATGGTATGAGATTCTCAAACTTCCTTTAGCACTTGCACCCATAAAGCTTAAAAACTGGACTCACCACTTCACAATGCGATAGGTCTCTTTCTTGGGAATAATCTGCTCCAGGTAATCATCAAGATGTGGGTACTGTTCCAAGAGCTTGCTACGAATGTTTTTTTGCACTGAGGATTTCAGTTGCAGGGTTCCTGAAATATCCTCCTTTGGATTAAACCTAAAAATAATTTTAAAAATGTTTCTAGGAATGGAAATTCATCTCTCCACATCTTAAAAGCATAAACCAATTTGAGGTGCAGAGAGATATCCAATAAAGAACAAGGGTAGCAGCTTACTTTTTGAACATATTTACCAACAGGGCACATGTACAGAATCATGCTCTTTCTTCTCCAACTGTGGTTGACTGCTTTGGTACACAGATCACCTGAGAGAAGGCAACAGTTTGCTAGTTCAGAAAAAAAAGCAATTTCACCTGATAACATATGGCATGCACCAATTTAAAACATCCCATGACAGTATACTCCCCCTTCCAACAAAATAGTGGGTCTTCCTCAACAGAGGTGGCATCTGCATTTTCCTACTTTGTTGACCTTGTGGCTCTATTGATAGAGCTTATGAAAATATAAAGGTAAGGATTTGAAAAGTGGAGGTAAAAAAAAAATCATATAATGCATTTCTGGTTAAATATCCACTTAGTAGTTGTGCAAAAATTTCATAGTTTAGGAAATGAAAATCAAAAAAGCAATTGCCCCTCTACATTCAGTGAGTTTCTGCCGATTCCCTCCCTCTCATGGTTTATCCAAATACAGTATCCATGACATAGCATTAGTGAACTCCCTAATCTCTTAAAAGTCTCACTATTTTAAGCTGCCATCAACTGCATGTATCTTGCTTTGTGTTAACCCAGCTGTGATCTATCCCTTGATATTGACAACCTGCATATTTTTCCTTCTCTCTACCTGCTATATCTTCCTATTGGGTTCACTTGAATGTTTAATTCTATCCATTGATAACTATAGGTTTTGCCTAATCAAGGAATAAAGATGATGATGCAATACAGCACTTATTGCATTATCCCCCTCTAAACATCTCAATGTTCACCTTTGTTTTAGCCTACTAGTTTATACTTAGTCTTACCTTCTGCATCCCCTTTGTTCATTTCCTAGTCCTTTCAATGCCAAAACTCTTTGTAGTGCACAAGTTCATTGCTGCCAGAACTATTTCCTATGCTGTGGGTTTTATATGCGCTTGGTTGAATGCTTTTACCTCTGGAACTAGTAAAGATAATGTGTTTTTTTTTAAATCCTGCTTACCTAAAAATGAATTCAGCTTCCAACTATGCACAAAAAATCTCATGGAGGAAAAATTCATGACAGTGATTGTTGTCCATGGCATGGAAAGGGCTAAAAGGGTGACCTGATTTCCTTGGGCTTATCCCAAAGATTTTCCTCTAACCAGCAAACAAGGCCAAGGAGCTACTCTACCCCTCCAGAAATCTCCAACTTCACTTCCCACCTCAAAATAAAATGCCTTGTTTTGGTTCCTCTTTCACTAAAATATGAAGGCACCAGAGCATTTTTTTTTTAAATAAACACTTCCACAACACCAATGGCGACAGTAAAGAAAGCTTTAAAAAAATTAGCTTTTGTCCACTGCCCCTCGAACCAGAAGGGTACTGCTCATAAAGTGAGGCAGCCTGCTATTGACTTCACTGATCACAGGCGTAGTAAGCTATTAATGAAACTATAGACCCTGACTATGAATGCCAAAGCGTAGTCCAAGCCAGGTCTGGCCTATACTACCTAGATTAAACGGGTTCAACGGTATCAATTTCCTTGAATGCCAGTGTATTGCACTTGATTTCGACACTTACACGAGGAATGCACAAGTGTCAGAGCCAAGTGGAAAACTGGCTTCCTCTTTATTCATGTAGGATAGAGGCACTCAAGGTAAGAAAGTCAAAGCAGGGAGAGACGTTGCTCCATGGAATGGATGGCCATATAAACACTTTCGAAGTAAAGCTGTAAAATCCAAAATCTTGTAGAGTGATTCTCTCAGTTTTGAAAATAAAATAGCAATGTCAAAGTTAGAAGGATAAATGTATCCATAATTTATACCACACGTGAGAAATTCTTCCGCTTGATAGTAAAATTTTGGCATGGCTTGGTGACAGCACTGCTGGAATCATGGGCGGACGCAAAACGCACGTGCTCGGTCCAGTGTGTGAACGTTCAGCATACTGTGCATTAGTAATTCGTTAATTATAGGGGTAAGACACTCCGCAAACTTGGAAAGTTCTGATGATGAGTTGGAGGGATAATGCTAATAGCAATTTCAGTCAAGGAGTGCGATGAGAGCTTGGACGACAATGGATGGGAACGAGGATCCGAACGGAGATGGGAGTTCTGCCAATACGCGAGAGACTGACATTCGAGTCCTCGCGAGAAGACTCGAGGAGAATGCGTGAGTCCCATCTTGAATCTTAGAAGACTATTAGCATAATAGATTCCAGCTAAAACACCACCGAGCGACATGTTTGCGTTTAGAATCTTCGTGCGATGCAATGAGAACACGTGATATGTCACGAATTACATAAGTAAAGCTTTGGAGACGCGAAGCCACAGAAGTCAAGCCGCTATGATACCGGTAATGCCCATCCTTGTGTGTGGGAATTGTTTAAATGGGATCTTCTCGAGAGGGGCTTTTTTTCATGAAAACCTCTCATGGCTAACGCATTTGATGAATGAACTTCATTATGCATGGCTCAAATTCCACCAGAGGCCTTCTCTCACCCATCAGTTTTGTAATCTTCAGTTGTGTAAATACAAATATGATATGCAATATATGGTATGATATGGTAAATTTATACAAAATTTAAAAGTAATTTGTAGAACATAAACACTTAAACTATAATAAGAAAAGAGCTCAAAAATGCAAAAAAAAATTATGATAGTGGCCTTAAATCAGGTCTAAAGGGGTTAGGATGGAGGAAATGCCAAATGCCGAAAGGTGCTCAGCTCCAGATGTCTGGTGCTTTTTCTTATCCTTCAAGTTTGAAATGCTGTAGCACATGATGCATTAGGTCAATTTCCTTCAAATTTGACACAAAAAAAAAACATTTATTTCTTCTATCTACAGGGTGTCCCACTTATCGCGGACGATTTTACTCAAGTATAAAATTCTTCTTACTTGAGCAAACTAAACAAAATTTTCACAAATTATCTGATTGGAAAGAAAGTTCTCGGAATTTCATGAACAATTATTACAACCCAGTTTATTTAAAAGCAAAATCATCTCAATCATGAATGTAATCACCATTGGCCTCTATCACTTCACGCCAACGTTTATGCAAACTATGGATGCCATTCCAATAGAACTCTGGCGGCTGCGCTACGAAAAAGTTGGCCAAATCGGTTTTCAGGTCGTCTTGGTTGGCGTACTGCTTTCCAC